AACTACTTCGATAACTGTTTTGTAATGATTATAATATTTTAATTTGTACATTGGAATAATAAATATCAGAATCATTACATTTATAATATAAGTAAAATTGAAATCATAGAAAATTGTATATACCAATTTTATCATCAAAATAAGATAGTCATTGAGTTACAGTATTTATATTCTTTAAATAGTACAAATGGCAGTGGATGATGCAGACTTGAAGTTGTATAAAGAGATATATAGAAATTGAGGAATATGCAAACAATTTGTTCTTTCTATGGATAATAAGATATTCTTTTAGAATTTACACCTTTTTATTTTAATTTCACTAATCCTTATAATGTAATATTTAATACTAAGTTATAATCAATTTGTAATCGAATATCTTCTATAACAAGATACACAACAACTAGTCGAAGTACATTTAAATTATTTATTATTCCTTAATCACCTATAGCAGTAAGAAATAGAATGTTGGGATTCACATAACAATTATACTTAAATACAACTATAATAAATAAAGATTTAAATGATGAAGCATCTATAACATATACATGCTATTGTATGTGTGAGGACATAGTTAATGGAACTGCTTGTTAAAATTAAATAAATTAAACTCTTGTTTTTTGATAATAATTTCAATTAATATATTCCTCGCAGAATATTTGAAACATATAAGGTTGTTAAATTATTAAGCAGAAATATTTAAGGAAAATTTTAATTATTCAACCAAAGTTTAAATTTTACTTAGAGAATTAGATTTATCTGTTTTAATAATCTAAGGTTGTTGATCTTTTGACACTCTACAATTATTATGAGGAATCTATCTTCAAACTTAATTATCCATGGATTGTTCAAGATGTTTTGATGTATACAGGAGCTGTTATTTAGTCAAAGGAAATGCAAGTAGATTAAGATTATCTGTTTATGATTCTAGATTTATTATGCTATCATTAAATACTCAAATGCTGACACTTAATATAACACCTTAAAAGTGTTAATTAAGCGATGATAAGAAAGAGAGTTAGACCAATTGAAGTAATGCAATTAATTTTGAAGATGTTGATACTCCATTGAAATATTTAGTTATGCTATTTCCAAATTTATCAATATTTAAACAGATCTTGAGAACTCTAAATCCTATCATTACTTTCTTATAATTCCTACACAGCTTATTTCTAAATTTAATTAACACTCCCTCATTCTAATAATAATGTATGTCTCATCTTGTAAACATCTATAGACTTACTTAATTAAGTTTTTTGTGTTCCTATATATTTACATATTATATCTAATGGACGATCATTAAGCACACTAATCTCTTTTAGTTTACTATAAAATTGATTTTTTTCTTACTTAAAATACAAAAGCTGTTTCTTTATTACTTATATTGTTATTTATATTATAACTATCTTAATTTACTGAAGAAACTAATACAAAAACTAGCGCTAAAATTATTTCATATTTTACGAAATTTGGATTTGATAAATAATTTTAAATAGAAAGAAGTACTTATGTTTTCAATGAATTTGTTTAATTAAGTCTTTTCTAGTTCTTTTTTTAATGTTTAAAATTATTTCAATAGTTTCTAGTGTTGTTTTTGAGATTAATATTGTGCTGATGCAATTGATTACAATAAACTACCGGTTTTATTCGAAATTAATGCTTATATCACAAATAACTTTCTTGTTTGTACTTTTAATCCAAGAGCTGGTGTATCCTTCATGTGAAGTCTCTCCAAAATCTGTAAGAATTTGGTTGAGTGAAGTTAAATGTTATAGTTCGAAATTTTTTTCATTTTCAATTGTTATTTTATGATATAATTATGTATCATATATATTGTTATTTTTTTGTTTATTATTT